AGTATTCACCATTATCAAAAATGGTATTTGATGACCTGAACAGAATAAGCGATATTCCAATTCACCGAACCAGTAATAAGTACAAAAAAATCGGTTCAGGAGTTGTTTATTATAATAACCCAGTTGATCTATTGGACAGATTAGAATTATTAGGTGGATCCATATTGGCTGGAAATAATGGTGTGAAAAATGAATTTTCCAAAATTGCTCACACACTGAACAAATTAGGTGTTCTAAATAATAACCAGCTTAATAGTCTGTTGAAGGAAAATGTAATCTAATAATATAAATGCAAGAAAGAGCAATCCATAAATCATCTGTTAATAGACAGAAAATCGGACAGAATAAAGCAGAAGATTTCATAATCAAATTTGATCCAGTCTTAAAACTCCAAAGTAATATGACACACGAAATAGCCTTGGATAAGGCCACAATGACTTACAGTTGGCATAATATTTCAGATCAGTATAAAAATAATCAAATAAAATACTCACCTGATGGTGGAACATCATGGGAAACCGTCAAATATGTGGATGGGATGTACACTTATTGAGACCTAAATGACTATCTCCATCAGTACATGAAAAGGAAAGGCCATTTTACTACTGATGCAAAAAGGGATGATGTATACTACATTAACCTAACATTTGTATTATCGACATACAAGATTCTCATTGAGATCGATAACAATTACCAACTGGATCTGAGAAATAGTAAATTTGGCGAGTTAATTGGATTTACAGAAAAGATTGTAAAGAAAACAGATTATGGGGATGGTGATCGGCCTAATATCACAAATTCCATTGATATGATCTACATCAATACCGATGCTATTACGAACAGCATATTGAATGGTGTTAATACTCATACGTTAGCAGTCATTCCAACTGACAATTTAACAAGAAGCTTTCCATTCACATTTGAACCCAGAAGACTATTGTTTAATGAAGTTTCCCAACTTAATATTTCACAGATGAGGTTTTATATCACAGACTCACTGGGGCGACCAATTGAACTAAATAAGATTGACTGGTTTATGACATTGATATTGCGATCCAAACCAGCATAATATGTAATCTAATAATATACAATGAGGCAATCAGAATTTAAGAAACGTTATGATGTTAAAACGGGGAGATATGTTAAGAAGCATATTTATGGAGAAGGTGTTACCGATGTTTTCAAAACAATTGGTAGAAAGCTATTTGGAAAGACGATGAAAGAGGCTGCTAAAACGGCATAGATATACTTCCATATAAATAGATTATATTAATTTGGTAAGTTGTTCTCTTTGCTCGTAGGTTATTTGATTTGGTTGGATAATTTGTCCAAGAATTGAACCAAGAGCCCGTTTCATATCTAGCATATCTTCCAATATTACAGGATGGAGGTCATACAACAATTCAGTTGCCATTAGAGCATATTGGAGACTTTTGAATTTCAAATGTACCTTCATATATTATTGGTTATATAATTATCAGAGAGGATAATGCATTATATAATTCCATAAAAGTTTCTTTTGACAGTCTTTATTGGTTTATCCACATATAGGAATGAGTAGGGTTGTTTTGTTGCTTTAATTTACTGATCCTTTGTTACATTCAGCTCTCTAGAGATCATATTTCTCTCATTACTGCTAGGGAAATCATAAACAATAGAATGACTGCAGTTTAGTCTGATATCTTTTGGAGTTTTATAAAATGATTGAGAAAGGTAAATAACACTGCCATTCTTATGTCGGCCTTGAATAAAATAATCGATAAGCGGCTTTTGATTTTTATCACAAATGAAGTCATCAAATATTACAATTTTCCGGGTATCACTTTCCAGACTATTGACAGGTTTAATGTCATCATTATTGCAGTGCATTATGTCATATCCAACTTGGCTACTAATGTCATTCATTGTTTCTATCATGTGTCAATACTTTTCCTGTTCCAAGTTCTTACCGTATAAATGGATCTGATCATAATAGACTAATGGTTTCATAAGGATGTGAAAAAGTAAGTTTGTTTTGCCTGTATTTGAACCACCGCAAATTAGCATCCTAAAATTGGACTTGGGCATATACTTGTACAGCTGTTTGAAGTTTGTATTTTCATCTTCATTGAAATCATAATTTGAAATATCCATATAATATTATGTTAGATAAATTGAGATAAGTTCAAATAAGTTGAGATAAGTTTTATATAACACAATAGTATAATGGATACAGAAAGATTCAAGAGACTCGGTATTCCTAAAATTGAAGCAGGAAAAATGACTGAAGTTGTTAGGGATGTTATAAAAGAAGTTGAAACTAGAGATCAAGATTTATATGAAAAGGTGGCTAAAGATCTAAAACCTCTAACAGAAAAGTTTGATAAGGAAATTGAGGAAATCAGTAAATTGAGAGAAGATGTTAATAAACAAGTTATCCCCTATGGTGAACAAGTTCAAAGATTAGCATTACCGGGCCCAATTGGTGAGGTGGCACCCAAAATGATAGCTGATATGAATAAAGGATTTACTCGAGAAGAATTGGCATTCATACAAAACCAGCAATTGCCATTACCGGCTGACATCTTTTTGCAAACCTTAAAGGAGCCAAATTATGCGAAACAAATTCTGGATAAATCCGGTGAAATAAATAAGAAATTGGGTCAGAAAAAAGCCCATTTGAGCACAACAAAAGCTAACAGAAAGAAAAATAAGGATGAAATTGCCGAGTATACTAGAGGAGTTAATATCATAAGAAAATACAGACAAAGAATTGGTATTGTAGAGGAAGGCACAAAAACTCTAAAGGTTGGGAAAGGTATTTACACACAGAAGAAGAGAAATGCTTATAAGATTAACCCTAATACTGGTGTTTATGGAAATGTAACCATTGATGTGCCCAAACTTTATGGGCAGCTTAAACTAACTGCTCATAAGGATGGTAAAAAAGTCTATGATAAGCAAGTGGACTTTGATACCCTTGATCTGCTCACAAAGCGGTTCAACAGTAAAAAGAAGTATTCACCATTATCAAAAATGGTATTTGATGACCTGAACAGAATAAGCGATATTCCAATTCACCGAACCAGTAATAAGTACAAAAAAATCGGTTCAGGAGTTGTTTATTATAATAACCCAGTTGATCTATTGGACAGATTAGAATTATTAGGTGGATCCATATTGGCTGGAAATAATGGTGTGAAAAATGAATTTTCCAAAATTGCTCACACACTGAACAAATTAGGTGTTCTAAATAATAACCAGCTTAATAGTCTGTTGAAGGAAAATGTAATCTAATAATATAAATGCAAGAAAGAGCAATCCATAAATCATCTGTTAATAGACAGAAAATCGGACAGAATAAAGCAGAAGATTTCATAATCAAATTTGATCCAGTCTTAAAACTCCAAAGTAATATGACACACGAAATAGCCTTGGATAAGGCCACAATGACTTACAGTTGGCATAATATTTCAGATCAGTATAAAAATAATCAAATAAAATACTCACCTGATGGTGGAACATCATGGGAAACCGTCAAATATGTGGATGGGATGTACACTTATTGAGACCTAAATGACTATCTCCATCAGTACATGAAAAGGAAAGGCCATTTTACTACTGATGCAAAAAGGGATGATGTATACTACATTAACCTAACATTTGTATTATCGACATACAAGATTCTCATTGAGATCGATAACAATTACCAACTGGATCTGAGAAATAGTAAATTTGGCGAGTTAATTGGATTTACAGAAAAGATTGTAAAGAAAACAGATTATGGGGATGGTGATCGGCCTAATATCACAAATTCCATTGATATGATCTACATCAATACCGATGCTATTACGAACAGCATATTGAATGGTGTTAATACTCATACGTTAGCAGTCATTCCAACTGACAATTTAACAAGAAGCTTTCCATTCACATTTGAACCCAGAAGACTATTGTTTAATGAAGTTTCCCAACTTAATATTTCACAGATGAGGTTTTATATCACAGACTCACTGGGGCGACCAATTGAACTAAATAAGATTGACTGGTTTATGACATTGATATTGCGATCCAAACCAGCATAATATGTAATCTAATAATATACAATGAGGCAATCAGAATTTAAGAAACGTTATGATGTTAAAACGGGGAGATATGTTAAGAAGCATATTTATGGAGAAGGTGTTACCGATGTTTTCAAAACAATTGGTAGAAAGCTATTTGGAAAGACGATGAAAGAGGCTGCTAAAACGGCAACAGAAAAGGCCGTTCAAAAAGCTGCTACTAAAACTGGTGAATATGCGGGCGAAAAAGCCGGTGATAAAATTATTCAATTATTAAGCAAAAAGAATAAAAAGACACCGGTAGCAGCATTACCAGTAGCGACATCGCCAATAGAAAATCCACAATCAAGAGAACTCACCGATTACGAAATTAATGAGAGGGTGAATCAATTACTGTCTGGAGGCCAGATGAGAAGATTTCTGTAATCTATTATTATATGAAATCATTTAGAGATCCAAACTATGTTGAACGATATGAAGATGTTATTTTTGACCTAGAAACAGCACTAAATACAACTGTCGCCAATAATCGTCACCAAAAGAAAGATGGCTACAGGTTTGTTATTGATAACAGCGGTGAGGTAACACCATTTGACTGGTATAATGCTCGTATCAGTCTTGATTTTAAAGTAGTCTTCCTGGCTAATGGAGGTAACATTGCAGTAGCAGAATTGTAAACGGGTCGTACTCATTCTTGAAACATTTTGATATTAAGTTAAATGGCAAAAAAGTGTATGATTGTAATGACGCGAATCACGCGGTAAATATTAAGAATTTACTTGAGTACAGTCCCGCTTACGCCGAACAAACCGCCAGCAATGAGTTTTTCTATCTTGATACAACAAGACACCCAGAGGAAACAAGATTCACTAAAAGACGAGTAACTCATAGAAGAAATGCTGCCAATAACGCCGATGATGCAGGATTAATGTTGGATGATGTAGTAGCTAATTATAATAAAGATTTTGCTCTTCGGAAAGTAATCTTAGTTGTCTCATCTACAGTAAATACAGAAATACCACTGAACAGATACTCATTCTTTCAAATGTTAGAGGATGAGCTGTTACCCAATACAAGGGTTGAGATGAATTTTGAGATTGAGTCAGATGGTAATCTAATTTGGCAAGCCGGGGCTAATTACAGAGTGGTAATCACCAGGATGCAGTTGTATGTCCCGCGAATAACCTTTAACAGTGAGGGCCAATCATCCTATATGAGCCAATACCTTAAAAATCGTAAGTGGACTTATTTGAGAGAGAATATTGAAAGATCAAATAGTAGCCAGCAGAGAGCTGGGCATTTCAGAATCTCTTCTGGTATTTCGAAACCCTGACACGTGTTTGTGTTTATAATCAGTGATGCGAATATCGCTGCCCAGACAGCTAATCCATTCTTGTACAATACATTCTCTGTATCAACTGACCCAAGAACCTTATACAATTGTCACCTGGAAGTTGGAAACGGAAATGAATATCCCGAAATACATTACACACCAATTACTGATATGACTAGAGTCTTTAGGGATGTGTTGAAATATGTTCACAAAAATAATGAATACGGTGAAGGGTCATTACTCAATAAATCTAATTTTAGTACCCTGTTTCCAGTCTTATATTTCGACTTAACAAAACAAAAAATGGACATTACGGATGGCACCACAAAACTGACATTTAAATATGAGCTATCTGGAACAACGGCAACAGCCTACTCAATTTACGCATTAACATTATATGAGCAAGATGTGGAGCTAATACAGAAAGATGGTAAAATAATACTGAGATCGTAAATTGAATATGGTTAAAATTATGTAACGTATATTATATATAAGTAATGACGAAATATTATCCTTATGGTGTGTCACTTAGTAAAGGACAATTGGAAAAGCTTTCGAGAGCTTCTAATAATAACTCAGCAATAACGATCAGATTAGCCAGAAATGAGTTATCCGCCCCGCATGAATTAATGCTCACAAAAACTCAGATCAATAAGCTGAGAAAAGCAATGAGCCAGGGTACAGGGTCGGATATCAAAATATCAAAAACACAAATCAGAAAGGCTGTCAGACAGGGTGGTAGTTTGTGGGGATCATTAATCAGTTTAGGAAGCAAGTTGTTACCTATGGCAATGCCATTAGCCAAAAAAGCTATCGCATCGCTTGCAACAGGAGCGTTATCAGGATTAGCCAGTTTAGGTGTGGATAAAATATTCGGGAAAGGTCAACGAGGAGGTTTTCTTATTCCACAGGAAAAAATAGCACAATTGATTGCGTACAAACATTTACTATCCACAGGCCAGAAAAGGGATATTCTCAATGCTCTCCAAACTGGAAACGGATTAGTTATCAGACCGACGAAAACACAGCAGGGTGGTTTTTTAGGAACTCTGCTAGCGAGTATAGGAGTCCCACTATTACTAAACGCATTGACGGGAAAAGGACTGCAGGCTGACAGAACCGGTTCCGCTAATACAACATCTGTTTATGTTCCCGATACAACTAATGGCCACGGAATGTATAATCCGTATCCCTACATGTCACCACCTTTTTTTGGAACATGAGAAAATCCAGTATGGGAGTAAAAAAAAAAAAAAGAAAGGGAAAGGGACTGCTGCTCGGAAAAAACAGCCCATTCAATTCAATCCCGATTCTAGGAACAATACTGTAAGATTCATAAACAAACCATTATCGAATATTGATTTGTTACAATGGGTCAAACAATTAGCAATAAAATATTTTAGGGGTATTTACAGCCGTGGTAATTTACCAGACAAAATACACAAATTGGAAACAAGAATAATTAATCTTGATGATTCAATGGGCGGGGGCAGTCATTGGATTTGTTATAGAAACGTGGATAAACAATATTGTGAATATTT